CATTTATTGTCCTCTACTTTTTTGATCTTTGCTATTATTGCTGGTATGAGATGATATCTCATTGTTGTTTTGATTTACATCTCTCTAATGGCTAGTGAGGAGTCCTGGTGTGGCGCTATGGGTTAATGCGCCAAACTGCAAAGCTGTTGGAACTGCAAGGTCGGCAGTTCAAGTTCACCAGTTGCTCCGCAGAAACCCTACACAGGGTTGCTATGAGTTGTAACCGACTCGAAGGCACTTAACAACAACAACAACAACAATGGCTAATGATTGTGATCATTTCTTCATATGTTTGTTGGCTGCCAGGATCTCCGTCTTGGTGAAGTATCTATTCATGTCCTGTGCCCATTTTTTAATTGGGTTATTCGTCCTTTTCTTGTAGAGGTATTGTAGGTTCCTATATATTTTGGAAATGAGTCCTTTGTCTGATATGTCATTGCAAAAGATTTTATCCCATTCTGTGGGATCCCTTTTTACTCTTTTTATGAAGTCTTTTGATGCACATAAGTTTTTAATTTTTAGTATGTCCCATTGATCTATTTTGTCTACTTTTGTTTTTATAATTTTCAAAATATTTGGTAGTCTGTGTATGTCCTGTATTAGAGGTCTCATATTTTCCCCTATTTTTTCATTGATGGCCTTTGTATTTCTGGGATTCACATTTAGGTCTTTAATCCATGCTGAGTTGGTTTTTGTATAAGGCGTGAGGTAAAGAACTTGTTTCAGTCTTTTGGATATCGCTTTCCAGTTCTACCACCACCATTTGTTGAAGAGACTATCTGCTCCCCATTCAATATACGTAGGTACTTTATCGAAAATCAGTTGGCTGTATGTGGATGGGTTAATTTCTAGATTCTCAATTCTGTTCCATTGATCAATGTATTGTTCATTATACCAGTACCAAGCTGTTTTGACCACTGTTGTCATGTAGTAAATTTTGAAATCAGGGAGTGAGAGGTCCCCCACCTTGTTCTTCTTAAACAGTGCTTTGCTTATCCTGGGTCTCTTTACTTCAATATAAAGTTTGTAATTGT